GTATATCTTACTGTGAGGTAATACGTTACTGGAATATGTAGTATTACTGTATTATGGTATTATAATACTGTATACCTTACTGTGAGGTAATATGTTACTGGAATATGTAATAATGTATTATGGTATATCTTACTGTGAGGTAATATGTTACTGGAATATGTAATATTAATGTATTATGGTATATCTTACTGTGAGGCAATATGTTACTGGAATATGTAATATTAATGTATTATGGTATATCTTACTGTGAGGTAATACGTTACTGGAATATGTAATATTAATGTATTATGGTATTATAATAATGTATATCTTACTGTGAGTAATATATTAATATGTACTATGGTAGCGCTGTATGTAATATATTACTGTAATATGTACCGTATGGTAGTGCTATATGTAATATATTGTAATATGTACTATGGTAGCGCTGTATGTAATATATTACTGTAATATGTACCGTATGGTAGTGCTATATGTAATATATTGTAATATGTACTATGGTAGCGCTGTATGTAATATATTACTATAATATGTACTATGGTAGCGCTGTATGTAATATATTACTGTAATATGTACTGTATAGTAGTGCTGTATATAATATATTACTGTAATATGTACCGTATGGTGGTGCTGTATATAATATATTACTGTAATATGTACTATGGTAGCGCTATATGTAATATATTACTGTAATATGTACCGTATGGTAATGCTATATGTAATATATTACTATAATATGTACTATGATAGCGCTATATGTAATATATTACTGTAATATGTACTATAATAGAGCTATATGTAATATATTACTATAATATGTACTATGGTAGCGCTATATGTAATATATTACTGTAATATGTACTATGATAGTGCTATATGTAATATATTACTGTGATATGTACTATGATAGTGCTATATGTAATATATTACTATGATATGTACTATGGAAGCGCAATTTGTTAATGTTTCCTGTATTATGGCATGGTAGCGCAATATGTAATATGTTACTCTTACATGTAATAATTGATTTCTAACTTGGATATTGATACATTGTGTCACTTTCTTTCAGCTGTTGAAGGTAACGATGGCAGCATTACTAGTGACACTGTCACTGCTGTAACCGCCTTCCATGCAGTCACTGATTCCATGACGGGTAAGGTTCTATGTTATGCTGCACACCCATCACATGTGCTTTACATGTCCTGTGTCACGTTCTATCTTCCTCTTTCTTCATTTGATGTTGGTATAGTAATGATATGTACTACGGTAGCGCTATATGTAATATTTTACTGTAATATGTACTATGGTAGCGCTATATGTAATATATTACTGTAATATGTACTATGGTAGCGCTATATGTAATATATTACTGTAATATGTACTATGGTACCGCTATATGTAATATATTACTGTAATGTGTACTATAGTAGCGCTATATGTAATATATTACTGTAATATGTACTATGGTAGCGCTATATGTAATATATTACTGTAATGTGTACTATGGTAGCGCAATATGTAATATATTACTGTAATATGTACTATAATAGAGCTATATGTAATATATTACTATAATATGTACTATGATAGCGCTATATGTAATATATTACTGTAATATGTACTATGGTAGCGCTATATGTAATATATTACTGTAATATGTAGTATAATAGAGCTATATGTAATATATTACTATAATATGTACTATGGTAGCGCTATATGTAATATATTACTATAATATGTACTATGATAGTGCTATATGTAATATATTACTGTGATATGTACTATGGAAGCGCAATATGTTACTGTTTCCTGTATTATGGCACGTTAGCGCAATATATAATATCTTACTCTTACATGTAATAAGTGATTTCTGTCTTGGATATTGATACATTGTGTCACTTTCTTTCAGCTGTTGAAGGTAACGATGGCAGCATTACTAGTGACACTGTCACTGCTGTAACCGCCTTCCATGCAGTCAGTGATTCCATGACGGGTAAGGTTTTATGTTATGCTGCACACCCATCACATGTGCTTTACATATCCTGTGTCACGTTCTATCTTCCTCTTTCTTCATTTGATGTTGGTATAGTAATGATATGTACTACGGTAGCGCTATATGTAATATATTATTGTTATATGTACTATGGTAGCGCTATATGTAATATATTACTGTAATATGTACTATGGTAGCGCTATATGTAATATATTATTGTTATATGTACTATGGTAGCGCTATATATAATATATTACTGTAATATGTACTATGGTAGCGCTATATGTAATATATTACTGTAATATGTACTATGGAAGGGCTTTATGTAATATATAACTGTAATATGTACTATGGTAGCGCTATATGTAATATATTACTGTAATATGTACTATGGAAGGGCTTTATGTAATATAAAACTGTAATATGTACTATGGTAGCGCTATATGTAATATATTACTGTAATATGTACTATGGTAGCGCTATATGTAATATATTACTGTAATATGTACTATGATAGCGCTATATGTAATATATTACTGTAATGTGTACTTAGGTAGCGCTATATGTAATATATTACTGTAATATGTACTATGGTAGCGCTATATGTAATATATTACTGTAATGTGTACTATGGTAGCGCTATATGTAATATATTACTGTAATATGTACTATGGTAGCGCTATATGTAATATATTACTGTAATGTGTACTATGGTAGCGCTATATGTAATATATTATTGTTATATGTACTATCGAAACGCTATATGTAACATTACTGTAATATATACTATGATGGCGCTATATGTAATATATTACTGTAAGATGTACTATGATAGCGCTATATGTAATATATTACTGTAATATGTACTATGGTAGCGCTATATGTAACATTACTGTAATATGTACTATGATAGCGCTATATGTAATATATTACTGTAATATGTACTATGTTAGCGCTATATGTGATATATTACTATAATATGTACTATGATAGCGCTATATGTAATATATTACTGTAATATGTACTATGATAGCACTATATGTAATATATTACTGTAATATGTACTATGGTAGCGCTATATGTAATATATTACTGTAATATGCACCGTATGGTTGTCCTGTATGTAATATATTGTAATATGTACTATGGTAGCGCTATATGTAATATGTTACTGTAATATGTGCTATGATAGCGCTATATGTAATATGTTACTGTAATATGTACTATGGTAGTGCTATATGTACCATATTATTGTAATATGTACTATGGTAGCACTGTTTGTAATATATTACTGTAATATGTACTATGGTAGCGCTATATGTAATATATTACTGTAATATGTACTATGATAGCGCTATATGTAATATATTACTGTAATAGGTACTATGATTGCGCTATATGTAATATATTACTGTGATATATACTGTGGTAGCGCTATATGGAATATATTACTGTTATATGTACTATGGTAGCGTTATATGTAATATGTTACTGTCATATGTACTATGGTAGCGCTATATGTACTATATTATTGCAATATGAACTATTGTAGTGCTATATGTACTATTTTATTGTAATATGTACTATGGTAGCGCTATATGTAATATATTCCTGTAATATGGACCGTATGATAGGGCGATATGCAATATATTATTGTAATATGTACTATGGTAGCGCTATATGTAATATATTACTGTAATATGTACTATGGTAGTGCTGGATGTAATATATTACTCTGATATGTACTATGTTAGCGCTATATGTAATATATTACTGTAATATGTTCTGGGATAGCGCTATATGTAATATATTACTGTAATATGTACTATGGTAGCGCTGTATGGAATATATTACTGTAATATGTACTATGGTAGGGCTATATGTAATATATTACTGTAATATGTACCGTATGATAGCGCTATATGTAATATATTACTGTAATATGTACCGTATGATAGCACTATATGTAATATATTATTGTAATATGTACTATGGTAGCGCTGTATGTAATATTTTACTCTTATATGTCCTATGGTAGCGCTGTATGTAATATATTACTGTAATATGTACTATGGTAGCGCTATATGTAATATATTACTGTAATGTGTACTATGATAGTGCTATATGTAATATATTACTATAATATGTACTATGATAGCGCTATATGTAATATATTACTGTAATATGTACTATAATAGAGCTATATGTAATATATTACTATAATATGTACTATGGTAGCGCTATATGTAATATATTACTATAATATGTACTATGATAGTGCTATATGTAATATATTACTGTGATATGTACTATGGAAGCGCAATATGTTACTGTTTCCTGTATTATGGCATGGTAGCGCAATATATAATATCTTACTCTTACATGTAATAAGTGATTTCTGACTTGGATATTGATACATTGTGTCACTTTCTTTCAGCTGTTGAAGGTAACGATGGCAGCATTACTAGTCACACTGTCACTGCTGTAACCGCCTTCCATGCAGTCACTGATTCCATGACGGGTAAGGTTCTATGTTATGCTGTACACCCATCACATGTGCTTTACATGTCCTGTGTCACGTTCTATCTTCCTCTTTCTTCATTTGATGTTGGTATAGTAATGATATGTACTACGGTAGCGCTATATGTAATATATTATTGTTATATGTACTATGGTAGCGCTATATGTAATATATTATTGTTATATGTACTATGGTAGCGCTATATGTAATATATTACTGTAATATGTACTATGGTAGCGCTATATGTAATATATTATTGTAATATGTACCGTATGATAGGGCGATATGCAATATATTATTGTAATATGTACTATGTTAGCGCTATATGTAATATATTACTGTAATATGTTCTGGGATAGCGCTATATGTAATATATTACTGTAATATGTACTATGGTATTGTTATATGTAATATATTACTGGAATATGTACTATGGTAGCGCTGAATGGAATATATTACTGTAATATGTAATATGGTAGGGCTATATGTAATATATTACTGTAATATGTACCGTATGATAGCGCTATATGTAATATATTACTGTAATATGTACCGTATGATAGTACTATATGTAATATATTATTGGAATATTTACTATGGTAGCGCTGTATGTAATATATTACTGTAATGTGTACTATGATAGCGCTATATGTAATATATTACTATAATATGTACTATGGTAGCGCTAAATGTAATATATTACTGTGATATGTACTATGGAAGAGGAATATGTTACTGTTTCCTGTATTACGGCATGGTAGCGCAATATGTAATATGTTACTCTTACATGTAATAAGTTATTTCTGACTTGGATATTGATACATTGTGTCACTTTCTTTCAGCTGTTGAAGGTAACGATGGCAGCATTACTAGTGACACTGTCACTGCTGTAACCGCCTTCCATGCAGTCAGTGATTCCATGACGGGTAAGGTTCTATGTTATGCTGCACACCCATCACATGTGCTTTACATGTCCTGTGTCACATTCTAGCTTCCTCTTTCTTCATTTGATGTTGGTATAGTAATGATATGTACTATGGTAGCGCTATATGTAATATATTACTGTAATATGTACTACGGTAGTGCTATATGTAATATATTACTGTAATATGTAGTATGGTAGCGCTGTATGTAATATATTACTGTAATATGTACTATGGTAGTGCTATATGTAATATATAACTAATATGTACTATGCTAGCGCTATATGTAATATATAACTAATATGTACCGTATGGTAGTGCTGTATGTAATATATTACTGTAATATGTACTATGCAAAAAACTTGAACTGTAGGTGATCCCTAGCAGAATCAGCCTGGGAGCACCGAAAAGGGTTCTATGGGTGTTACACAAAAGATAATAAAAAAAAATAAAAAGCACCTTTATTATAGGGTATAGATTCCCCAGATAAAACAGAAATAAAACTTACTTAAGATATAACACATCTAATAAAACACACAGGGGAGATCCTGATCTCATATAGGAGAAGAAGTATATAGATAAGAGATTGGAAGTATAAAGTAGACTTGTATACTAGAATTGAATAGTGAAATAATTCTTCTATACTGGCGAGAATAGTATGTAAGTGTAATGCTGATATACAAAATAGCTATATCCTTATATAGAGGTTGAACTAAAGCCTAGGAGTATTAGGGTGCAATAGACTTCTCTTAAGTGTAGTGGAATCAAGCTGAGTGAAAAAGTATCTAGACAGCGATTGATACACACACAGAGTGTCCCTTGCTCAAGTTTCCAAAAGTATAAGTGAGTCAGCAGCCCTAGTTGGTTAGAATGTATCAACTAGAGAAAAAGCTAGCTCTAATTCTGGCTAAATTGCTATCCTCTAAAGTATCTACCGTATATACTCGTGTATAAGTCGATCTCATGTATAAGTCGAGGGCAGTTTTGTGACCAACAATTGTGAAATATGCTATGCCTCGTGGATAAGTCGAGGGTAAAACTTGGGACTATGAAATTCTGTGATTTTAGAATTATATACACACACACTCATACAAACACACTCTGCATTATATACACACACACTCATACAAACACACACACTCATAAACAATCTGCATTCTACACACACACTCATACAAACACACATACTCTGCATTATATACGCACACACTCTGTGTGTATATATTGCAGAGTGTGTGTGTGTTTGTATGAGTGTGTGTGTAGAATGCAGATTGTTTATGAGTGTGTGTGTATATAATGCAGAGTGTGTGTTTGTGTGTGTGTGAACTGGGTGGAAGGAGGGCATTTTTATTATAAATTTTTTATTTTAATATTGTAAGTTTTTTTCTTTTATTTTATTTGAATATTTAAGTTTTTTATTTTTTAATATTAAGTTTTTTCTTTTATTTTATTTGAATATTTAAGGTTTTTATTTTTTAATATTAAGTTTTTTCTTTTATTTTATTTGAATATTTAAGGTTTTTATTTTTTATTATTAATTTTTTTCTTTTATTTTATTTGAATATTTAAGTTTTTTTTATTTAATATTTTAATTTTTTTATTTTAATAGTTTTTATTGTATTTTTTTTTGTATTTTTAATTTAATTTTTGTCCCCCCTCCCTGCTTGTTAGCTGGCCAGGGAGGGGGTCTCACTCCCTGGTGGTCCAGTGGATGGGCTGTGCAGGAGGGGGGGCTGACAGTGAGAGGTTACTTACCTTCCTGCAGCTCCCTTCTCCTCCGTGCAGCTCTTCTGACAGCTCCCACTGGAAGTCTCGCGAGAGCCGCGGTGACCCCGCGGCTCTCGCGAGACTTCCAGTGGGAGCTGTCAGAAGAGCTGCACGGAGGAGAAGGGAGCTGACAGGAGCTGCAGGAAGGTAAGTAACCTCTCACTGTCAGCCCCCAACAGGACCGCCGGGCTTGTAATGAGCCCGGCGGTCCTTGTCTGTATTATGGCAATGTAAATTGCCATAATACAGACATTAACTCGAGTATAAGTCGAGTGGGGGTTTTTCAGCACAAAAAATGTGCTGAAAAACTCGACTTATACTCGAGTATATACGGTAATTAAATCTTGCAAAAATCCGATTCTCCATATAGTTCTCCGTTCCATTCCTCCCCCACACCCTCGTGAGCACAAGAAACAGTGCAGTGATTAAAATTAAAAAAGCATAGGACCTAACGCACGTTTCGGCGCTACTCAACAGGGCCGGACTGGGGATACAAAGCAGCCCTGGAAAAAAAATTTGTGCCAGCCCCATAAGTCACTGCGCCATATATTGTCGCGTGTAATATGTAAGGCTATGTCTGGCCAGGACAGATGATTGAGTAATATATATATATATATATTGCCTTTTCTAATATAAAATATTGGTCCTTTCAGGGTAAAACGTTTAATTATACAGTAAGCATACGCACATGCAGACACAGGCAATTTCACTGACATTTCAGTGACACACACAAGCTCATTGATACACAGCCTCATAGACAAACAATTTTACTGATATACATCAGCTCATTGACATAAAAACACAAGCTCACTCACTAGCAGGCACACGCATGCAAGCAAGCTCACTCACTAGCAGATGCACACACACAGCTTAATGTGGTGGTACTGGTGTCATAGCATGTCCCTACAGGCTTTTCAACGTAAACACTGACTTTTCAGACAAAAGGCAGTGTTTACATTGATTTAAAGTGACACTGCTAGTGACAGTCACTCAGACGGTCACTAGAGGTGCTTCCTGTGTTATTGCCCTCCCGCCCTCGCGCGCTGCTGAATGAGAATGGCGCCGGAATATGACGTCATATTCCGGTGCCGGTCTCATTCAGCTGCGTGCTGGGGAGCAGAGCCAGCGCAGCTCGCGCAGCTCCCTCAGCGGCCGCCAGGACAAGTCCGCCAGCGGCCGCCAAAAGACCTCCCCAGCGGCCAGGGGAGGGCTGGCAGCCTTAGACCTGGGGGGCAAAACCAGTCAAGTAGACTGGTGCACCTGCCCAGGATCAGAGCCGGTGCAAGGATTTTTGCGCCCTAGACAAAATAAAAATTTGCTGCCCCCACATGTCACATCACAATGCCCCACCCATATGATCTGCCATATGAACTAACGCCAGTGCTGCACACAGTGTGTGTTTACATTAAAAAACCTGCAGGGACCAGCTATAGACACCAGAACCACTTCATTAAGCTATAGTGTCCCTTTAATGTGAGGTACATTATAGATTAGTGTCACTAATAATATACTAGATTGCCTACTTACAAGCAGATGAGGATGATGATGGGCTGCAGTTTGGCTCCACTGGTCTGGTGTAGAACAGTATCTCTGGAGGCTGTTGCAGCTGTGGTCACAAAATTCAATGTTCTGGGAGAATTGGAAGCAGCTCCATTTTTTGGGGCCCCTTACACAGCTCAAGGTCTGGGCCCCAGGGCCTGACGGTGAGTATGCCCATAAGGCCCACTCATAAGTTCCACACACCCATGAGTTCGCTCACAGGG